CACATCTGTAATCTCAGCACTCTAGGAGGCTGAGACAAGAGGATCACAAGTTTGAGCTCAGCCTTGGCAACTTTACAAGACTCTGTATTAAAATAAAAAATACAAAGTGCTGGGGATATAGCTCAATGTGAAGGTCCTGGTTTCAATCCCCAGTATGGGGGAAAAAAGGCCTAATTTAAGCTCTGGCTTCAGGGTCCATGGAAATTCTGAAAGCAAGGCTTCCCTGGCCACCCTGCCCCTCAGCTCGCAGGTTTTGCTGTAAACCCAGTGTTCAGCAGCCCCACAGTCCAGAGAGGCTGCCTCCTGGAACCCAAGGCACAAGGGAATTGCCAGGCCTGGAAGCTGGGTTCTAGTGTCCATCTTGTCCCACCCCGAGGAGCCACCACAGCAATGTTTTGGGAGCCCTGGTGGAGCTCAGGCTGAGGAGCTTGGTGCTAAACATACACCACATCAAGACCCTTCCTAGAGCTCAACTCTAGGCTATGAAAAACATCCCCTAAGTTGTGCAAGGCCATGGGCTCTGGGCATAAAATATCTGCAAAGTTGTTTTTTTTCCCCCTTGAAAAATAACTCCTCATCTCCCCTTACCATTATTTCACTAATAATCTTTCTAGCTTTTGGGGTCCACACACATCTCTGCAGGAGTTGTCAGGAGAGAAACCCAGAGCTCTCACTTTTCTGAGTGCTTCTGGGTAGACTGTATTCCTGAGCTGTAGGCTCATAAGATGCAGAGGTTAGTGGCTTTGGGAGGTGCATGTCTGTAATCAGAAGGCTGAGGCAGAAAGATTGCCTTGAGTTTAAGGCCAGCCTGAACTACATAATGACAGCTTGTCTCAAAAAAACAAAACAGAACAAAAATCATAGATAACACATGGGAGGCTGAAATATGTGGACAACATTATTATGTAAACATTCCCAACCTTCATAATGCAAGGGCAAAGTGCCAAGAGGCAGGGTGACAGAAGGAGGAGGCAGAACTGGAGAGAAGCGGGTGTGACCCGCTGACTGATGATGTCCGGATGCTGGTGATTCTGCCCAAGCTGAGTCTCACAGTTTGATGGAAGCAGCAGTCTTCCTGTGCAGGACACGGGGGTAGTGACACAGCCACGTGGGGAGGGGACAGAAGGGAGGTTTTGGGCACATACAGCTAAATCCGCATACTAATGCTGGGAAAGCCATAGGCAGCATGGAGAGCTGGTAAATCAAGAAGAAGCATTTGCCAGAGGAGACCAGAAGAACTAAAACAAGTTGGACATGATAGCCTCCAAAAAATGGAAGTCTGGAGGAGAAAAGCCTTCTGGACTAGGTTATGCTCTTCTAAGTGTGTTTGATAATAATACCTTTTAAACTCCATTTATAATTTGGAATAAAATATAACATAGCTACAAATTAACCTAATAAGAAAAGCATGGACTTTCACTGAGAATGACCCTCAGGAGAATAAAGAGGTGTATCCCAGGCCGGAAATGAGGTCTGTGCCACATGTATCTGACAAAGGACTCGCTACCTAGATATATAAAGAGGGTCAATAAATCAGTAAAACTGTGGAGACAGTGGCTGCGAGGGACTGTGAGAGATGCAAATATGTAGAACACAGGATTTTTAGAAGAGCAAATCCACTGTAGGATACTAGCAGGGTGAATGCATATCATTAACGTTTGTCCAGACTCACGGGGCAAACAACAGGAAGAGTGAGGTCAAAGGTCAACCACAGACTCGGGGGTCCTAAGGAAGTGTTAGTGCACATTCATCAGTGTGTGCCTGCATGGGGATGGGTTAGATGGGAAATCTCTACCTTCCTCTCGATTTTTCTGTGAACATAAAACTGTTCTAAAAAAATAATAAACTCTTTAATAATGAAAAAAACTGAAGGCAAATGAATGGACAAGTCCCTAAAGGGCGATTACATCATTTGTCCAAATATTTATTGGAAAAAAAATACAAAGTCCAAATCTGATATTTATAAACTAAAATTCCAATTCAGTGAAACACATTTTAGAGACGCAAAATTTCTTTTCAGCTCCAAGAAGGATCATTTTCACCAATTCCCACCACAGAAGGAATGGCTGAATATGTTCACGTTGGAGCAATTATTGAGTTAGGGGGATACAGCACACAAATAAGTGGATCTAAATTGTAGGAGCTACCACTATTTTAAAAAATACCATAGGCAGATGTCCAATAGCAAAAAACAAAACAAAACAAAGCAATGAATGCTATGAAAAAAATGGCAACCAAAGCCATAATGGGAGAAGGTCCCCTGTGAGGCATGTAAGAAATGGATTTTGGCTTCTACTACTTGCGGGGGGTGGGTTTGAGACAGGGTCTCACTGTGTAGTTGAGACTGCCCTGGCCCTTGCTATGTAGCCCAGGCCAGTCTCAAACTCACAGCAATCCTCCTGCCTCAGCCTCCTGAGTGCTGGGATTACAGGCATGTGCCAGCCACTATGCCTGGCTAGTTTCTACTATTTTCAAAAGAGAATTTCAAAGCATCTGTGTGTACTATAAATTGTTTGTAAACCCAGCATGGCAAGTTTAGTTTTTAAGGTCACTCAGGGGCCACGGGGCACAGGGTGCCTCTGTGTGAGACTGCATGGTCCCTGGCCATGCAGGCTGTCATGGCTTTGCCCTGCTGGGAAACAGCCTGGTCTGCATTTTCCTGACTGCAGTCTTCAGGTACAGGTGTGCAGTGCCGGAGAACTTGGTGTATTCTACAGGGAATCACTGCCTCTTCCTCCCATGGTCACAGAATCTTCCCGAATAGTTCAGGGATTGTAGAAATGTGATGATGTATCTTCCCTGAGCAAAAGCACAGCACTCAGCACCATGTGTCTAGGTCCCCTTTTGTATTCCAAAGACCCTTGCCAAGTCAAAGGGACACTGGAAATGTGACTTGGACCAGACTGAGTGGATCAGCATTATCTGAAGGACCCCAGGAAAACTTTTGCTACGGAAAGAGAGCCTGCCTGCCTTCCTTAGGCTAAGTCATCTGTTCCTTGGAATGCTGGCCATGTGGTGGAACGAGCAAGATAATGACGTCGTTGCCTATGTCATTGAACGGATCAAGTCCCTTCGTGCAATAACCTACAGCAGAACAGAGCACTGTGGAGAGTAAGTGCCAGAGTCCAGCTGGCACCGCTGGACTTTTTAGAAAAACACCATAAAGGACAGAGGTGCTACTTGTTCAGCCTGTCACCAGTGGACATTCCAAGTAGTTGTTGGACTCTCATGTTCTTCCCATGGACCCTTCCTGCTAGTAAGACTCAGTAACCTTCTGGGTAGTTTCTTTGATCTCTCAACAACCTACTCCACTGCCCTGCGACAGCTGGGCTGCGGACAGGACACATGAACACGCATCGTCTCGCTTTCCAGCTTGGTTCTGCTCCACTCTGCCCAGGAGTCTCCCTCACTGTCCCTGACTCCAGCTGCTCCGTAAGTGTCCCCCATTCCGCAGTTTGGGGGTGAGAAGGTGGGTGCTGCAGCTCCATCCACTCCAGCTGGGCAGTTGCAGGCCTGACTTCCCAAGGTTGACTCCCCTGTCTTGCTCCACCAAACTCAGCCCTGAGCTAGGTTCCTGCTATACCCGCTGCTGCAGCTGCTGCCAGCAGGGGGTGCTCAGATGAGGTGGGACTGCCCCAGTCGCCTGCCAAAGTTACCAGCCGAAGCCTCCATTCACAGCCCAACACCCAACACCAGACAGAGACCCTCTAAACCTCTAGACAGTGAATCGACCTTTGCTTTCTAATTACCACTTGCAGACCTTAGACCCAATACCAGCTCGAGCTTTGAAAGAATGCAGTGGGAGTACTTTTACTTCTTGAAAATCATACCAATACAAAAACTATTCCTAAGTTTGGATGTGTTATTAGCAAAGAGAAAACTAACTGTATGGCATCTAGGGTAATAAAAGCTTGGGGATTTAGTACATAAGTGCCTGGGAGAGAGGAGCTTGGAGAGATGAGGAAGAGAAGAGGGTGGGCTGCTGCTGGGTGCCAGTGGGGGCAGAATTTCAGGAAGGGAATATGGCAGATAGAGTTCTTTTCTGATTTGCATGTTCAGCTGTTTGGGTCAGAAGAGGGTAAATTATGCTGGGAAAACAAAGACCTGCCAAGATCTCGGGGGGGGGGCGTTAAATCAATGAAGCATTTGTTTTTTTGCTTATGTTATTGGGGAATTGGGGAAAGAGGTTATGTTCTTTAGCCTCACTAAGGGATGCAGCTCCACTCAGAGTCCTCATCTGGATCAATGAACATTGCTCAGCACCACACAGGGATACAGCACGCTCTGGCTCTTAAAGCTTCTGGGAGGAAGTGATGTCACTTTGCTCACATTTCATTGGCTAAAGCAAGTCACATGTTCATACCTCTCCTTAAGGGTGTAGAAAGATGTGATTCCACCATGCGCCCAAAGAGGGTGAACAGGAATGTTGGCAAGCAGCCCCTAGGGCTAGCCCATCCTTTTGTCAAAAAGCTCAGTCAACTTCTTTGTGAAGGTCTGAGCCATTAAACAAGTTACAGTAAAAGAAAGAGATGCACTTATTGGAAAGAAGCCATATTTATGATTATACCTAGGTTATTTTTCTATCCTATCTCCACTTAAGGAGATGCAGGAGTTGGTGTCCGAGTCCAAACTCAGCACGGGTGTAGACATAAGCACAAAGGACACAGTCTTCCAGGTGTGCTCCTTGCCTACAAGCCACCTCCTGGCCAGCAAAAAAGCAGACAGCTTCTTTAAAGAGTTTAGAGTTGAGGGCAAGAGACTTTAGACAGAGTATTCACAGTCTGAAATCCTGCTACAGCTTTCAAAGATTTTCCTGCTTTTGCGATGTGCTTCTACCTCTCCCCCTACCTACCCATACAAGCTCATCAAAATACCATGGCAAAATCTCAAAACACCATGAAAAA